TTGGACGAGCTATCACACCTTGTCCAACAATGTTGAAAGAGGTATGACCTAGTATCGCGAGTGATATCACCTCATCCTACGCTACTCGTTCTGGGCGTGTGGCCTTGAGTCGTTGGACCAATCGCATCCAGTAGGCCTTTTTGCAGAAACAACCCATCCCATCATTGATCAAGCTTTTGCAATAGACGGTCATGATGTACCAACCTTTGAGTTGCCTTCCAGCTTGGCACACACGCAACTCATCCCCATTATTGATTTACTTTATAAATAGCTGTGATCTGTCGACCTTTGAGTTGTTCTGGCTTGATCCAAGCCCTCCAATCTTGCTTAATCTGATGGTCCCAGGTCGGCCCAACCTGTTCATCTTCTTCTTCCTTCCATTAAATATCAGATAAACTCCATGTTAACCACTTTCACTCTGCTCCTGTGATTGTCAAGCACTCTTTCATAAAACTTAGGCACCCTCTACATTACTCCCGGCTTCCAAGCAGGACCGTCTCCAGAAATTTGGAGGCCCCAGATAATTTTTTTTTCGAAGTTCCTAATTTGAATTTGTGTGGTAAGTATGGAAGAAAAAAACAGCTAATTTAACAAGACAAGCAAAATAAATAAATAATTGAAAAAAAAATAATTTTTCTTATTTTTCATCAATCCTGAAATAGATCTTGGAAATGATAAATTATCTCTAGAGTTTACAGAGATATTTAATAAATTACATTGAAGCAGTCACGAGGACATTAAGGATAAAAAATAAAAAATAATATCACTGAAAATAATTATTATAATACAAATTGTTCATACCAAACATCATAAGAATTTTTCAAATTCACAAACGAATTACATATTTAACCATTAGCCTTTTTATTAATTAGCTTCTTCATTTGTGTAGTGGACCAAGTCCATATTTAGTCATTAGCCCTTAGCCCTTTATTCATTAACATCTTTATTTGTGTAATGGGCTAAGTCAATATTTAGTCATTACTCATTCATTAATTAGGCCACTTCATTTATTTAAATGGATCAAACCCAAGACAAATGCATAGTATTAACCAACAAAACAAAAAAAGATGGCCCCAAATAAATTGAAGCCCTGGGCAAGAACCTACTCTGCCTCCCCCCTGGAGCCGGCACTGCTTCCGAGCTCCAACGACTCCATTTACGCTCTTGCCACCATGTATAAGATTTTTATGGGTACGTGACCTTCGACTTGTTTTATTTTCCGATCATCCTTACACTTCACTTTCACAGTTTATTGATTTACTCGTTGTTTGTCTGCTTTATCCTTCTCTTTCATTTTTGAGAACCCCTTACCTTCATGACTAACTCTAACACATCCTTAGCCTCCAATTCAGAACCTTTAGGGGAACCCTCAGTTTGCTTAGCCCTACCTGCTCGGTCGGGCGTGACCAACCAAGTTACGGTGGTCGCGGGTGCCAAAGCCAAAGGGGTGTCTCCCCTCGTTAGGGTAGTACGACCAAACCCTATATTAGCCTACTCAACTAACCAGGTGACCAACCTTTTGCCTGAGGTCGAGCTTCCTCGAGCCTAGGACCTTAGAATCCCCCGAGCTGAAGATTCTTACTGCCAACCTCTTCCCGACTATTATACGTTTTTTCTCGACCAAGTCGCGGCCAGGCTGAAATTACCCTTGCATGATGACCTTGTAGCACTAAGCAAACTGTATCACCTGCCTCTGAACCACTTTTCCCCCAACTATATCCGGCTCTTGGTCGGCTTCATCATGGTCTGCCGAGCTCGTTTAGGTAGAATCAACCTCGACCTTTGCTTCTATTGTCTTTGGATGAAGCCTTTGAGGGGCTTGTAGTACCTATCTAGTTGCAACGGTGCAAGCTTCCTTAAGCAATCTAAATCGAAAGTTAATAACTGGAAAAGTAAGTATTCTTTTGTCCGTCCTCTGCCCAATACCTTTGATTTCTTCCTGGAGTGGCTCGTCGAGCTATCCAGCCAACGCAAAAAACCTCAAACCCAACGTAGAATACGTTGCTTTCATCAAATAATGGAACGAGCGTCCTGTCTACGTGGTTAAGCTGACTTCTGATATGCAACTCCTTTGTCATTTCAAACTTTCTAAATGTGTGGCTAGGGCAGTGGTTGAGATAGGTAGGCGCTGCAAACCGCAAGATAACATTCTTTGCATGTCCCTTATTTAATTTTACTGCCAACATATATCTAATAATTCGTGCCATTCTTATCGCAGAGGCTAGGTTCAACGTGGATGCAACCAGTCCTTCCACCAAGATGAAAAGAGCACAACCCTTCGCCGACTAGACTGCTCACGTGGTCGTCAAGCTAAAAAACCCCAGGGTCCAGGCCCAACGTCCCTCTTATCGGCAGCCCCCTCAGAAACAACCTGCGGGAAAACGCTAGAAGGTGACCACCAAATGAGGTCTCCCCAAAGATGGGTGGTAAGGCATCCGAGAAGAAAACCTGCTCCTTGGAACAACCTCAGTCTTTTGCTGGAAATAGTGAGGTGGAAGCGGTGGGCTCCTACCCTGAGAGGAAAACCTCTCGATGGAAGACTAAGGAACGCCGAGCTGCTTCCACTGTGTATCATCTTCTTTAGGTAATCCATTACAGATTAAGCCATATATGTACTTTTTGCATGCGTTGAGTTAAAACCTCCTCGTCCTCGCAGACAGTGGTTGGCCTAACTCCCATCCGTCATGAGAAATTGGCGGGTCAAGAGTTGAAGAATGAGTTGGACAACCACAAAGCCGAGCTGGCCAGCTTAAAGGAGGTCTATCACCGTTAGAAGGAGTGGATGGACCAGCTGGCTGCCCAGCTTGCTGCCAAGGAAACTAAGTCAGTCAAGGTGAAAACTCAGATCTCTACTAAGGATGCTGAGCTGGTTCACTCCGTCTCTTTGTGGACCAACGGGTCACTCAGGCCCGCGAGGATGGTCAGGTCTCCTTCATCTCCTCAGTCACTAGCGCGAGTTTTATTGATCACTACAGGGTTGAGCTGCCGAAGTACTTTAAGCATTCCACCTTGTACCTATCCTGGCTCTTCCCGGCGTACCAACAGTATTTTCAAGAAGAAACTGAGCATACCCAGGCACAAACTGAGGCCCAAGGGTTTACTGGTACTTGGGACGAGACGGCCTTGATCAGAGGACTCATGGAACCCGCAGAGTGGAACAACGACCAATCACAACTGATTGATTATCATTTATCCCTGGTGGGAGCCCGTTCTGGAGGTCTCCAAAGCCAAAGCTGGTCTGGCCGCAGAGAGAGAGGAAGCAGATGAGGAGGAAGAGGGCGGGATGTCTTCATCTTAGAATTATCTGTTTGTGCTAGTCGTTTGAACTTATCTCAACTTGCTCTGTACTTAAGAACTTTATTGTTTTGAATGATGCCCTCCTGTTTCAGTGTTTGTTGTTGTTGTTGTTGTTTTTTATTTTTTTTATTTTTTTAATGTTATGACTAGTGTGGTTGCTCAATCTTGCGATCATACACTAAGGCTTGTTACCGAGCTTCGTAAACTAATGCTACAACAAACATGCGCCATAACCCTATTATAAGTCTCAGGTCTTACTGCCGAGCTCTGCAAGCTTGAGCCTTGCTACGACAGGCTTGCGCCACAAAAAAAGGGTGCAAGTCGAAGAACCTATTTCGGAGCTCTGCAAACTCGGGCAACGCCACGATAGAGGACTTTATGCTAAGCTCCACGAGCTTGGAAACGTTTCGACAGACTTACGCCCTAAAAAGGGGTGCAAGTCAATTACCGGGTTGAACCGCCTATGCCATGAAACTCCTTCGTCTTTGATCTCCAGTTACCTGCAATATGTCTGGAGGGGGTCCCGAAGGAAAAACCTCTGACGCCCAAGTTAGAACTTGCTCAACAAGTATATATGAGAATATGAAACTTAAGGCGTAGAATATGTCATGTATTCATAAAGAAGAACCTGACACCCTTATATAGGGTATTTGTCATGATACCCAAGAGAATCCTTGTTAGGAAAGAGATCCAACTAGCTCACATTTTTTAACTTACCACATCTGTTTCTAGGCAAATCTCTTTGAGCACGTGATACTTTCCTTCATACTAGGATTCTTTACCTTTTGCTATGCGGCCTTTAGGTCCCCAACTGTAACAATGACCTCCTAACCTACTTGCTGCGACTTAGCATAGGTTGAACTTGACCTCCATCTTAGGTCTAACCTCACTTAAGGTCCTACGACCTTGATACGTCGAGGTTGGCTTTATTGTTGAGCTCTTGGAGATCGGTACTTTCAGGCCATCTTCTTCAGGTCGACCAGTACCCAGTGGTCGATACAGAATTTTTCATGAGCCTGGGCAAAAAAAATTAATTAACAGTTCAAAAAATAATTCTCCTTACAAAAAATATTTATAATATTTTTAATCCTTGTATGAGGTGATTTAATCATTATATGCAAGCTAATAGGTTATGTTTTATTCAATAAGAATGCGTGCTTATACTATAAAATGTTAATTTGTTTTTAATGTTGTGTTTTAAAGTGTGATTCAATCTGCAAGTGTCATATTTATTTAAAAAGTATAACTCTCTAACCATTAGGTCTGCTAGATAATAGCCCTATTGTATGTGTTTTCAGCCTCTAACCTCAACCGGAAATACTTGTAGTTGTCCATTAAAAACGAGTCGCGCTTTATTACAATAGTAAGAACAATAAAATTAAAAAACAAGTATGATTTGATACAATAAATGTAATAAATAACATTACTTATAAGGAAATCATCATTTAATTCCAGAGAAAATATGAAATATTTTTTGACAGATTTTTCTTTTATGGTTATAATAAGCATTTAGTTCAAGAGAGACTAAATAAATAACTTTATTATTTATAAAAAAATCACAATTCAGTTTAAGAGAAAATACGAAATTATATATATATATATATAATATATATATTTATATATATTTGTATTATATATATATATATATATATAATATATTTATATATATTTATGTTTATAATGAGCGTTTAATAGTTAATGAGAAGACTAGTAAAAGAAAATAGTTGATGAGAAGCCCAATAGCAATTTTAATGTTGGTCCATTAAAACAAAGTAAAAGTCCATGTCTTATTCTCCATCCAATCTCAATTTAACAATTTTTTAACAGCTTATTATAAATAATTTGTACTAATTGTGCTTATCAAGAAAATTCCAGCCTAGTCAATTGCCTAGGCTGGACTACATGTCAATCCGCCCCTGCCAGTACCTTAAGTTCGAATGCGAGCTCCTTGACTAGATTACTTATTTGTGAACAGACCAGAGCTCTCCCAAACCTAACCGAGCTAACTACTCTATCCTAATTGCCGAGCAGTGTTGGCTCTAGGGGGAGGCACCATAGGCCCATGCCTAGGGCCTCTAATTATTTTTTTAATGTTTATGTATTTGTGTTTGATTTTGTTTATTTACACAAATAAAAGGGCTAATGACTAAATATGAATTTGGCCCATTACACATATCAAGAGACTAATTAATGAAAAGGCTAATAACAAAATATGTACTTTGTGTAGGAATTTGAGGTCCTAATTATTTCATTTGTTTTCTTATGATGTTCGGTTAGAACAAGTTGTGTGCTAATAAATATTCTTTGCTGTATAATGTTTTTTATTTTTTCCTTGTTGTATTCGTGACTGCTTAAATGCAATTTATAATTAATTAAAGGTAATTTTTCTAATGTCTAGAAAAACACGAATAATCGTTTTTTTTAATTATTTATTTATTTAATAATCTTGTTTAATTAGATTTTTTTTTTGTGGTTCTATCCACAAATAGACCTACCATTAAATCGGAAAATTCGAAAATATAAATTTACCTAGGACCTCCAAATTTTTAGATACCCTGTTGCCGAGCTAATATGAGTACTACATCAATACTTACATTGGCGACTTGCAAGTTGCAAGTGAAATACCGAGCTGTTGAAAATTGTGCCAAGCTGGGCCCTAAAGCCGTGGGAAATGGTAAACCGTAAATGGGCTCGGACCCGAGCCCGTTGGCAATGTCTATGGTTAATATAAACATAATGATATGGATACATAGATCCGATATATTTGACAAAAATTTATATGCTTGCCAGCGCAGCAATCATCCACACCTCATCACAATCATGGCAAAAATGACGATAAAAGGCTTTGACGAGTCAAAATAGCAAACTCCGCCACTACCCACCACCTGTCGCGTTAACATTGGACAGCACCTTCTCCAAACCCCCAGCGCTCATTATTTAAACGCTCAGTCCTCACAAAAACTTTTCCGAAGCAGCCTCATTTCTGAATCGAAAATCAGGTAAGATCTTCGCTTGCTATTGTTTCAATTTTATTGCGTTTTCCTTATTCTTTCGATGCTCTTTCTTAATTAGCTTGATCTGTCTTGCGGTGGTTGAGATCTACTATGTCAGAAAGTCAT